CGCCTTAGGACATTTTAAATTTTCAAGGAAAACGACTGTTAGACATCATGTTAGGTACTACTCTTATCTGGACCTGACTGCTTAATGAAATGAACAGTTAGGCATTTTTTCTGACATAAGGGCGCCAGGAACAAAATACTAAGACCCTAAGGCATTAAGAACTAACAGTTTGCGACCTTTTCATCTTAGGCATTTCTTTCAAAGGTTTTTTGCTCTGATTTGGATGGGAAACTGGAGGAGAGGTTAACTCACAGAATGATCTCCAGTATCTAATAACTCTTATCTATTTGGAAAAGTGTACGTCTGGCTAATAATATGTGTTCTGTTTTAGAGGGGAAAAAAGCACACTTATTTCCCACCAACAAGAGCCCCAGTATCTTTCCACAGAGGTCACCCTGAGACTATTCAGCCTGGGAGAAAAGCCATCTGGCCTAATATGTGATAGGAAGTGAAAGACACAACTTGTTATTTTGTCTGTGTAGATTCCAAAAAAAGACATGGACAAAAGATAAGCATATATCATTACACACTATGAGGATCTTAATATAGCTATGGACACCAGGGAAAATGACAAAACTAGATCATTCCAACCCTCATTTAGAATCTCAGAGTGAGGCTTCAGTATATTTATATTAACTCCTTTAGTTCTAGTTAAAACAATCTTTCAATATGAAGAGCTTCAAAAAAGAAAAGAAACTTGTTCTTCAACCCTAGGACTCCAGGTTATGGTCTCCACAAAAAGGAAGTTGTGCTCCTTTGAGAAATGACTGATTTGGGTCTGGGACAGGCAATGTGCAAGATGAGGGTAGAAGACCTTGACGGACGGGGGGAGACACACACACACACACACAAAATACCACCCCCCCCCCCCATCAGAGAGCAGGGAAGCTATCAGAGATTGTGTCAAAAGATTTGGGCACCAACCTGAAGAGGCTCCAAAATGGTACAACTGGAGCATAAATAGTGTATTAATTATAATGTACCGGCTTTTTAGAGAAAGCTTCTATTTCTCCCCCTTTGTGAGTTTCAAAATAGGTATCAATAATTGGTTAACTTTTATTTAGGTTTACTGATAAAGTTTATCAACATAGCTGTACTTCTTAGCTGGACCTCTCCAGCTCTTTTAATAGGCCTCTTTTATTACTTATAAAACACACCTCACAAAGGAAAACAAAAACAAAAACCAAAACCAACCAACCAAAAAAACTCCACTCCTCATTGGTCAGCACTAGAAAATAATGGACCGCCTCATCATTTTGAAAATTGATAAAGAGAACAAAACCAAGTATATCATCCATGTCACAAATCTACTTGGTAAACAAAGAGTACAGGAGGTAAAGTTTCTCCTTATAGAAATATTCCAGTTAATAAATGAAAAAGAAATGATAGTATCATAATAATGTGACCCCTAAAGAATCAATGAACCTAGACATTAGGTAGCAATGGTTGCTGACACCCCAGAAAGACAAGCTCAATCAGGTTATTATCTGCCTTCTGGTGGCTGAACAAATAATAAACTGTGAAGTAATCTTGAAAAAAAGTGAGACTATGGGAATATAAATATGGGAAGCTTCCAGATCTAATTTAGTGGAAATACAAAAGACTACAATCAGAAAAACCTAGTTTGTGGGACAAACCAGTTTCTTTAACCCAAAATTATAGACTTAAAATACATACAGCGGTGGAGAAAGTAGGTTTACAGTTGTTCGTATGGAAAAATAATACAATAATTAGTGAATAATAATACAAAAATAAACCGGCATACTCACAACTGTAAACCTACTTATGCCAACCCTGTATTGCCCCATAAATCCTGTTTCAAATAAACTGCTAGCAAAATTACGACATTTATGAAACAATTGGAAATCTGAGCACTTACTGCATATATTATATTAATAAATTATTTTATTAAGCATATTAAGTATGCTGTTAAAAATAGCCATAATACCATTATATATATTTTTTAATTTAAATACTGTCAGAAAGCTGACTTCAGTTGGTGATCTATCGCTGTACATTGGAATGAACTATCCATGCAACTAAGTTGTGAGAAATGATAAATCTCCCTTTCCCAAGAATACCATTCTTTAAAAAACAGAAAAGGGGAGAAAAAAGGCTCACTGGGAACTCTGACAAAGTAGTAACATTATCAGCAGCAACTCAGTTTCCTTATCTTAGAAACAGCAAGGTGATACAGAATGCCTCAGGAGATAATGACCGGCTACTACCGTCAGGTAATCTGCCGGCATCTCATGTCAACATGCCAGGAAGAAAACTGCAGCTGGCACTAGTCCGTGGTCCCAAACCCTGGCTGCTACAAACTACTGCCAAGCTGGAACCCTTTTTGAAGAAAAGAGGTCTATTATAAGAAGAGCGGGGGATACCTCCTTAAAAAGTACAACTATTCTGAGTTTATGTTAGCCTAAGTAAAACTTAGCTGTTACTCCATACCTAATTTTGAATCTTTCAAAGGGAAAAAAATGTTTCCTCTACAAAGTTAGTTAGACGTATTTTAGGGATTTAATGGTTCTTACATTCTCTAAGCACCTCAATTTCTACAAATTTCAGAGTACCCTTTGATTTAAAATGTGCTGTATCTCAGGAGGAGAGGTGAAAAAGGAGAAGGGACTACGAAGTACAAACTGGTCGTTGCGGGACGGTCAGGACGTGGAGTGTGGCGTGTGGAGGGAATACAGTCAACGGCGTTCTGGTAGCTATCTACGTGTGATGTCAGATGGGTGCGGGATTTTCGGGATGATCTCTTGGTGGGTCATGTGGTGTCTGATCACTGGGCTGTATACCTGAAACTAGTATTGTATGTCGACTGTAATTGAAAAGTAAAAAATGATTATAAAAATTAAAAAAACAAAGTGTATCACACAATGTGGTTTGTTTGTTTTTTTTCCTCTTCCCTTTGCGTCTATTGAAAGTACACAAAACTCTTAAAGCACTGACTGGAAACCACCATCAAAGGTATATCAAAACACATGCAATATGGACCTTTTCTGAAAAACTTCTAAAATATTGTAGCTTTGTAAGTCCTACACATCATGATATTTAGAATAAGATTCCGATATATCTTGCTTGTTTACTAACTTCGTGGTTCTTCAAACTCAAAAATCTGAAAATTTGTTTAGACTTTTCATGGGCTAAGCCGGACAATAAATGTACACAGATTTCTTTTTTAAAAAGAGGAAAAAAAAGGAAACATAGATAACAAAATACCCAGAAATTCAGAAGGAGTAAATTCTTTAAGCCAATAATTTTATCAAAATGACAACAAAACTGAAGTTATTTCTTCAAAGAGCTGAGCAGACATGTTTACTGTGATCGGTGCTTAGAGTTCTGCAGACCCCTGACAAGGGCCCTCCAGCATCTCGGTGTGCTGCGCTTTGTGCTGCTGATCATGACAAAGCCTCTTCTTAAACCACTACCCATGCGTGTTTGATTCAACTTAACAAATGTCCGGTGAGTACTTAGGAAACTTATTCATGAATAACATGCTTTCTCTCAGAAATCCCAGAGAATTCTAATATTAGTTTGCATCTATATATATATTTAGCAATATATATGCTTCTTTATTACGAAAGTAAATATCAAGCCCTAGTGGTGATACTAATGATTACAAGTTCAAGCAGTGAAGAACATAAATGGTATTTCAAGATATCTGCAACTCTGTTAGGTGAAAATATTTTTTATTTCTATTGATGACAAAGTCCTTATGTCAAAATGACACATATGTATGCAGCTATGCAGTGTAGCAGGGAATGGAACAGTATAAAAATCAAGAAGTGGTATTAAGACAGCATGGACATTTTCTGCTTCTGAATTACAGGAAAACATAGCATTTAATTTGGAAGGAAGATATGTTTTTATTTTCTTTTACTACCAATGCATCTATATATTTAATATAAAGCTTGAAATTGTTTTATTCCATTTTATACAAAGAGAAATAAAGGCAAGGACAGGTCAAATCATTTCAGTAAGGTCACATAGTGAACAAGTCACCAGAACTTAAAACTTAAAACACAGAGTGGCATATACAGCTCTGTTCTAGTTAAGATCTGCTCTACCATTCACATTTACCCTGAGTCTGTCCCGTCCATTCTATCCCCTGCAATAGTGTCCACCTGCACCCCTCCTACAGGCTCATCCCCAGCCTTCTCATGGTCATTCCTTGAGCGTGGACCTGCGGAAAGCACTGTGTCAGGCACTGCGCTGAATGCAGAGGTGGCGGACGCACAGGGAGGTTAATACCTTGAGGGCTTACACTTTTATCTCACCATGAGCCAGTTTAAAATAATTTACATAAAGTGAAAATGATTTCCAGCCCTCTTCCAGTGAGGTCCTGTTTTCCAAAGTTCTATTTGAGAAGCTTGAAAATTTGAAGCATGAACAACTAGTAACGGAACAGAGATCATCTAAATTCTCTTACTAAGGTTTTCATATGCAGGGCAAGTGTTAAAGACAAACCTCTGCCATTCTTAGTTCTCTCCCTGTAATATCACATTTCTAGGTTTAATTTCACATGTCAAGTGAGATAGTATAGTCATACTACGCAGAATTATATACAATAGTTTAATAATTGAGGTTGAAGATACATAAATATGGAGAAGGGACATACATTTTCTAGCTGTAGTTTTTAAAATAAAGCAGATTTTGAGTCATCTGGGTTTTATAAAGTTAGTAACTTCAAGGAAAATGAAACATATTTCATTCAATTTGAATCCCCTGATGCCTAAGCAATGCATGAGTATGTTTCAACAGCAGCAAAAATGTAGCCAACAGCCCCTCCCTCGGTTGGGCAGCAGCCAAGGTTGCCAGTTCTATCCCAGAGGAACCTACAAAGAGTTTCCCTCCCACTCATTCTCCCTCCATTCCCATCTCTCTTAAAAGTAAATAAAATCTTAAAAAAAATAAGTAACCAACACTAGAAACACTTAAAAACCATCACACAGTTGATGTGGAGAGACCTCCACAGTAAGTGACACGGCACCTACCGTAGTGTCATTGCTGGTAACATACACCAGGACGTCGGAGGAGTTCCTGCCACTGATGTATCGGTAGCAGTTCCAAACGCAGCTGATCAAGTAACCCTGAAAGTGAGTAGTGATTATCAGATCTTTGGTTTTCAAACTTCAGAAAACTGCAAATATCACCATCAATAAAGCCATGTTACAAAACTTTTATTTACATAAATTATAAATGCACATATTGACTCCAGTAAACTAAAATGACTTTAAAATTACAAATATCGGATACAGTAACTTTCCGGCAAAGGGCTCTACTCTAGCCCTATTCTGTCACACCGCCCCAGGAGGTGCAAGGCGGGGATGCAAAGGGCTGAGAGCAGACCAAGAAACTCTAAGGTAGGACCGCCTGCCAAACACACTTATTGCTCCAAAATTCACAGAACAATTAAGCCATTTCTCATCACATTTTAAACTCTGTGTCTTTGGAATTTTTATCCTACATGATTATCTATGATTTTATTATTAAGTCCATTTTTTTAAAAAATGGATTATAGCATGTAAATTTGTTACACAGTCAATAAAATTAAAACATTTCCATTTTCACAATGAAATATCCAAGTAAGATATTCAAACTAATGTCCAGAATAAATACATGATAGATATAAGGCATGAGTTTATGGGAGGTATCTGAACTATGAACTCTTTTCACTTTTACTTCAATCTTCTGCAGTTGTGTTAGAATTAAATGATTTCAAAATCCCTTTCTAGCTTTAAAATTCTTTGATTAGAAAAAGTTTAAAAATGTGGAGAAAGTGGAATCCTCATATATTGCCAATGGAAATGCAAAATGGTGCAGCCACTTCGGAAAACAGTTCCTCAAAATGTTAAGCAGAGTTAGCATGTGACCCAGCGATTCTACTCTTAGGTATGTGCCCAAGAGAAATGAAAACATATGTCCACACAAAAACTTGAACACAAATGTTCACAGTAGCATATTCACAATATCTAGAAAGTAGAAGCAATCCAAATGATCAAATGATGAATGGATAGACAAAATGTGGTATATTTATACAAAGGAATATTCACAAATAATAAGAGAAATTCTGATATATGCTACATATAACATGCATGAACCTTGAAAACATTATTCTAAGTGAAAGAAACCAGGCACGAAGGACCACATGTTATATGATTCTATTTATATAAAATATTCACAATAGGCAAATCTATAGAGACAAAGGAGATAAGTGGTTGCCTGGGGTAGGGGCTAGGGTTAGGGTGAATGGCATATGATAAAAATGTTCTAAAATTACATTGTATAACCACAAAGCTGTGATTATACAATTCTGGGAATATACTACAAACCACTGAATTGTATGCTTTAAGTGGGGGGATTTTATGATATTGAGTTATATCTCAATAAAGTTGTTTTATAAAAAAGACATTTAGGGACAAAAAGAGTGCTTGTCAACAATTTACTAGAGAGTGAGGTAAAATATTGTCGTTTTCTACTCGGAACACCGTCTGTCTTAAGCTGCATTTGTACTTGATGGTGATTACTTCTTACATTTAAGTTTTCTGTGATGATGTTAAGATGAAAATGTATAATGCTATCTTGTAAAATGTTTCCTGAACAGCAATAATCTCAAGCTATTAACAATGAGAAAGAACGAGATGGAAAGAGTGTATTTCTTGACCAATGTAAGTAATATATTTAATTCACTGAAATCTCCAGTTTACTAAACAATGTTGTTGATCCTCTGTTGAAAAAAAAAAAACCCCTACTTTTTGAGAACTTCAATACAAATGAAAAAGGAATGTATAACGTATAACTTCTATGTTACATAACACAACCAGTGAATGGCAGATTCTACAGAACAAGAATTCGTCCTGCAGGGAGGTCTCTATAAAGTGACAAACCTGTAACTGAAGGGTTAAGCAGCAGAGGGGAAGTGCCTGGTGTCTGGGACTTCACAAGCCACAGTGCCCGCTCCCTCACTGAACACCACAATAGGAGGAAAACCTCTGGCCTGCTGTTTCTAAAAACCCAGTAACTTCTTTCAGTGACTTTATTTCTTATCTGACATTTCTGTAATCTGGAATAGAGAATTTAGTGTATTTTCCAAATTAACTTGCACTGACAAATTATGTCCCTCATCTACCTGCACAGCTGGGGTGAGAGCACTGCTCCCTTTCCTGTCTTTGGACAGAGGAACTGACGCGTGTCCTGGTTTACACGCACAGGGAGCTGCTGTGGTGATGAACCTTATCGATGAGTAAGCGAATTGAGGTTGTGAAAGCCACTAACGGGGTACGCTATTATGTGAAACCACAACAAATATACCCATATTTATTTTAACTAATAGTTACTGAGTCTCCATATGTGAGGCATCAGCTTAGTACTAAGAGGGACACAAAAATGAAGGTATAGTCTATGCTCTCAAGGAAATGAAGTCTAGTTACGTAGAAGAGATACGTAAAAAAATGAATATTAAAACAAGTACACATTCCTCACGGGTTGGAGATAGTGCTATGGACCACTTGCATGATGCTTTCAATATGGCAATTAATACTGTTTTGACATGTATAAAAGCACCACAGGGCAGGATTCCTCCTGACTTACTACCAAACCTCAGAACTAAAACATGGTCTGACGTACAGCAGACCCTTAATAAACTCTAGTTAATAAACACTGGCTTAATAAATGAATAAGCAAGGCATCATCTCATACATTACTGCACTTGAATCTCACAGGACCCTGAGAGAGAACACCTTCTTAACTCTCACTGCTATTTAGTAAATGAAGAAACCAAGGCTCTGGTCACAACCAGAAACAGCAGTGACAAAAGCTAAATCTAGGTCCTCTGACTAAAAATCTCAGGTAAGCATTTCCAATACAAACGAAAATGCCTATATAATTAAAATGCCTTTTTAAAGAGCATTGGGAAGTTCTGGCTTCTGAGCTTCTGGTCATGGCAGAGTAGCGTCGTCAGATGAACCTTCCTGCAGGAAAAAACGATAAAAACCGGAAACATACACACACACACCCGCCCCCGCCCCCCCCCACACTCCCTCCCCCCCACCCCTGCACGCACGCACGCACAGGATGAAGGCAAGGGAGAGCCATCAAAACCAGGCAGGAGCTAAAGGAGAGTCTACCTTTCAAAGACAAAGAGTAATGAGTGGGATTTGAGTCTATGGCCTTTGGCCAGGGGCCCTGCCAAAGCCACATGCAGCCTGGGCGGTCTGGGTGGGAAAGGACAGCAGCCCCTGGGCTGACGGAGCAGCCGGGGAGCTGGGGTGGAGGCGAGTGGGAGCTGCAAAGGTGCTGAGCCGCAACATCTATGCAAAAAACTCACCCAAACCTTTGACCATTTAACTACACACGCAGTATCAAAATACTCAGTGTGTTTTATGGGGGAAGATGTAGACCAATATAATTTTCAATGAACCATTTTCTCTGAATGATTCATGTCCATCATATTACCTATTTAAAATAACTTTTCCCCCTGAATGCAGTTTCCTCAAGCTTACTGAAGTCTGAGTTTTGAAGAACTGGGTAATTTTATGTAAAAATAAAGACTGTGAAAGATATTCAGAATGAAAAGTTCTAAGTTCAACAATCATTGGAGAATTTTCTTACTGGTAGCACACAAGTGTAGATTCTGATGTTTTTATTATCAGGTTTACAAAGACGGAAAGGGACAGCACTCAGACGATGAGGGTGAGAGGGAACACGCTCACGGGGGTATTAAGTCACTCAGCTTCTACGGAAATCAACTTGACAACCTATCAAAAGCCTTCAAATTAGGCATGCCTCCTGATTTTAAGAAATGTATCTTGAGGAAGGCATAAGTATACAAAAGATGTATTTAAATTTATTCCTTGCAGCAATATTAACTGAAGAGGCAGACACCGTCTCAATGTCCAACAATAACTTCTCAGATAATAATAAATTCGTGTAATAAACTGTTACAGAATGATGTTCAGAATATACTGCATTTTAAAAACAAATTACAATCCTAATAAATGCTGCAGCATATAATATATACTATATAATGCATAATATTTCATTAATTTATTCTCATCTTAATAGATTTTCAAATAATCCCTGACTGGCCTGTGGAAGTCTGATTTAGTGTTTACCTCTCATGTAGATAAGAGAAGGAACAGAATTGTCAGGAAATCAAAAAGCAGTTCAGACCTCCAAAGCAAGAGAATGAGCTGACTGAAGTTTGTTTCCTTATTTGGCATTCATGAATACATTTAAGAATATTCAGGCAATAAGTAAAATCTTTACTCTTACCTTGAAAGTCAAGATAATGGTGATAAACAGAAGAATAATAAGGACCAGACAGGTAGAATTCACTGACATGATATCATCTCTGTAGGGAAAATCAGGAGGCTGCAAAAGAAAAACACAACATTAGCAAATCTCATTAATCATTCAGGATTATATTCCCTAGGCATTAGTCATACATACCTATCAGAAAACAATTAGTTAAAGCAGAGGGCTATTAAGGACAGAATTTCAATGAAAAAGCTACAAATGGTGTGGTGAGGAAGAGCTAGTCTGTTCATAATTCAGGCAATAACTCTTGAAAAGAAATACTGGAGGAAGATTCAGGAGTGAGACCTGTAAACATACCTTTGCCTCCCTACTGTACAAAAAGCTAAAAGGAAAGACTTTTTTTCTTTTTTAAGATTTATTTATTTATTTTTAGAAAGCGCAGAACATGAGTGTGTGAGAGATACATGGATCAGTTGCCTCTCAAACGCACCCAAGAAGGGACCTGGCCCGCAACACAGGCATGTTCCCTGACTGGGAATCAAACCGGCAACCTTTTGGTTCACAGGTTGGTGCTCAATCCACTGAGCCACACCAGCCAGGGCTGAAAGGCAGTAGTCTTTATATATCTCTGATATCTGGATTGCCTGTAAACTCCAAACCATTCTAAAGAGCTTGTGCAGGCCAAGGGGGAGAAACCTATTAAAATAGTGTCTTCTTTGTATAGAGCATTTTTGTTGATATTACTTCTCCAAGAAGAGAATCTTTTATAACAGGAGGTATTTACAGGACTGAAAAAAATAATCAAGTTCTGCCATCTGACCACACTAATTAACCACCAGGTCAAAGGAAACCTTTTTAGGACGATCAAAATCGGCTCCCACGGTTAGTGGGCGGAACAGAGCTTCACCATGTGACACCTGCACTGTGCTGAGTGAAGCCCTGCATTTAACTGGCTGAGGTAAGTGTGCAGGGAGGTGGCGCAGCGCACACTGTCGCCTTCGAACTCTTCTTCATCAGCCAGTCCTGTGTGTTTGGATTCCACATTAGCAGTATTCTGAGACACAACAAAGAAGTTCCAAATGTTAAGGAAGAATGTAGAGAAAACTTGTGACTCGTGTGTTTGGCTCCTCCTCCCCAGGGTGAGCATTACTCAGTGACATTTAGAGTCGCCTTTCACTTTGGGCAAAATATCTGAGAAATAAAACCTCAATCATTCTTTGTGATCAATTGGTCCCTTCCCTTGGAGGCTGGAAGGGTTTCTGATTATCTTAAAGGGTAAGAATAAAACCAATTGCTGTTCACAAGGCCAACATGAAATCCTACTGTTTCTATGTCTAATCTAAAAAAAGGGGGGGGTGTTAAAGTAGAAGTAGGTGACCCTTTCCATAAAGATCTTTATATTCTTCCCCCCAAAAAGTGAAGATAATTTCTGTATCCAGCCGAGACCCATAAAAACATATGCACAGCTTATTTTAACTGCATTTTACAAGACTCTACCTAAACAGAAAAAGCATTACTGGATGCCTTCCCCCACCTTTCTCAGATAGTAGCCTCTCTGGATTCATTACATCTCGACTTGTCAACAGGGCCTTAAAATCAGTGACTCTTTAACAATCTTTTCTTTACTGTCTCTTAGGCATTGTGATAATTTGCAGACCTCACTCTTTCAGCCCAAACTTATTTTTAAGTAGAACGTACTCATTTGTTTTATTCGGTTTGTGATTACAAATATAAGTAGATGATGATTTTTTAATAAGTGATTATTACAATTACTGTAAGCATTACCAATATTATCATTTTACTACTAGTGGCTCTAAAGCAAATGAGTACGGTGACTGAACAATGTGGGGTATAATACAAAGTCTATGGAGTATTCACAGTGTTCTAGACACTTCCCTATGTTATTAGGCTCTGTGCGCTCCTATTCATAAATCCCTGCAATTCCTGAGCTGCAGCATGAAATACACTCAGTTCCCTCACAGGACAGGCTATGAAGAGATCAGGATTCCCCCATACTTTCAAGGCTGATATTAGGGCCCCACCACCAGATTATCATTACAGAGTAAATACACAAGTCTTTAAAGACAGAGGATGTGGTACAACCTGCTGGTCATATACAGGGTACGGCAAAAATTGGTTCACAGTTGTTCATATGGAAAATAATACAATAAATAACAATACAAGAATAACCTCTGTGTTTCGCATACTCACAATGGTAAACCTACTTCTGCCCCACCCTGTGTAAACCTCCTCATGCACACACACTCAGGTGTGCCACAAGGGATAACATATATTTAGCACATGGGAAATACACAAAAATTTTCTTGGCACAATGTTCTACCAAAACATGGTCCTGTTTCTCAAACAAGAGAAGCTATTACTAACAGAAATGGCATCCACAACAACCATCTAGAAGATACTTCTAAGGAGCTAAACACTGGAGGCTTTTCAGTCTCGGTCTCCTGAGTACCAGTTACGTGGCCTGGGCACGATGCCACAAGATCGCAGACTTGTGCTGCCACACTTTCTCCTCTCCCTCCACCTGCCCTCTTCCCCACTGAACTTTTTAACCTCCATTGTCATATCAAATTCCAGTTTTGTCTCTCCCTTCCCAGAACAACCCTGCTCCTTTCCCCATGTTGATAGACTGCTATTAAAATCTCCAGAGAGTGAACATTCTCACTCTTAAAAATTCTAAGATTTTGAAGAAACTGAATTTTAGGACACATTCACAGTTTAAAACAAAAATTTTAAAAATAGAAAGGCACAAGCCCTGGGTGGATGGGTAAGTTGGTTAGAATATCATCCTAATGCATCAAGGTTACAGGTTTGATCCCTGGTCAAGGCACATACAGGAATCAGCCAATGAATGCATATATAAGTGAAACAACAAGTTGATGTCTCTCTCTCTTTAAAAATCAATAAATTAAAAAGAAAATTTTTTAAATGTAAAGGCACAGAATTAGTCTAATGTCACACCCCCCACAAACTTTTTAATACCCAGCCATCAATATTTACACATATATTAACAAAGGAAATTCAGAAAGCTAGTCCAAGAAGAAAAAAAAAGAAGGAAAAAGAAAAAAAAAAGGCTTGGGGAAGAAAGTGTTCCGTGGCCAAACAAGTTTGGGATGCAGCACACTATAGAGTTTCACTTTTCCCATACAACAGCAGAGGCAAAAAACTATCCTTTGCTGATAAGTGAGCAAACTGCATTTTACCAAAATAAGACAAACAGTAACTAGTTTAGGTGGGTGCATCTAACACCATCATCACAGCCACCAACTTATCTCAGGAGGTTATGTTTTTTCCAAAAATCACTCTTAACAAAAATCTCACCTTCAAGATAACGTGCAAAAATCTCTAATCACTAACTCAGATGCAAATTAAAAATCCACAAATTAGTATGTGTGCATGTCTATGTGAATACCTCTCCACCCCTTACTTAACCAGGTCTCCCTCTGGAAGAGAGGCAGTCATTGGCACGGCCACATACCAGCTGTCGTATGTATTCCTGAATGGAGTTTGGATAAACAAGCACAGTGACTGCAACCAAGGTGTTCAGGGCAAAATCAAAGATCTGGTAACAGAAGAAGGGGATGATCCAGGCAGCATGTTGCTAAACATAAGAGAAAATACGATGTTAATGTTCATGTGTTCCATAATCCAAAACATTTCTTTTAATTTAGAGAAATATTTGCTTAATCTGCAGGGAAATGGAGGAATACCAATTCATTAAACCAGGCCATGATGACAACTGGTAAGCTAAACAGAAGGAGTCAAACAAATCTCAGTAAACATTTCTGAGACATTAGTTTTCCTAGTACTATGTAATATTAACAAGATGTTTAAACGTCCAAAGATTCCATAGAAAACTGAGAATGATTTTCATCTTACTCCTTTCAGACAACCATATAAATTATACATGTAAGGAATGGAGGAAAAGGCCCAGCTTATTATTTTTTAAACAGAAAAAAAATAAAAATTTTAATACATGCTCATGGGGAATTGAGGAAACACTAGTCATATCAACAACATTTTGGAAAAAAAAAAAGCTAGGGGGGTGATGAGGTATTAGATTTCAGAAGTGAGAATGAGTGATCTACAGGTAGTTGAGGAAGGGCTGAACTTGCTTCGCAGGCAAATTCTTGTTAGACAACTCAGAAACAATGGGACATAGGGGGTATCTAGCTAATAGACCCCTTGCTTAAAGCCCTCTTATTTACTCTACTTAATCCAGATAAGGTTAAGGCAACACTGTGAGGGTCCCTTCCCAGACTAGGTGTTTCCGTATGAATCTCTTGAAGACCCAGCTTATTTCAAAGCTGCTTACCTTGTATGCTCCGTAAGTCGCCATTGCACATATCAGGATCATGAGAAGAGAAATCGCAATAGCAATGCACATGTCTGCCAAAGATTTTAAAAAAAAAAATTAGTAGATCCATTGTTTAACCATTTTTTTTTAGTCTTTCCTCAAACGCATTTTGTTTATAAACTAATTATGAGTAAAAACTTCATACTAAGTAAAATACCAGAGTTCTTTGGAAATTTAAGATAGTTAAAGAAAGTAAAGTACTTAAAAGATATTCTCCCTACATCATATAAGTACCTATAGATAAGTACCTATAGATAAGAGACTGACTCACATATAAGTTTATTTCAAAAATGTGAAAGAGATACTGGTTACAAACACATTTAAAAAGTTGGTTGTCTGGTCAAATGAATTATATATAATAGGTTTTGTTTTGTTCTGTTTTTTAATATGTAGGAATCTAACTTGTATTTTGTAAACTCATGTGTGTCTCGTGTCCCTCTTAAACCCTTCCACTGGCTTCCCATCTAATATAAAATCTCAGTTTCTTATCAGGGCCTTCACATCTGCTCATTCTAAAGCAGGTCTACTCCTCCAGGCTTGTCCGACCTTGTCCCACACTTTCTTGCTCACTATAATCCAGCCGTACCATTTGGTTCACTACACACGGCAAGGTCATCCCACCTCAGGGCAGTTCCCACTGACTAAGAAGAAACGTCACTAATGTTTTCATACAACTAGCTCTACCTTTTTAACCGCGCAGGTCTCTCAGCTCAATGGCAACAGCTCTGAAATAGCTTCCCTCCCAGGCACTGCCACATACTACTGTATTTTCTTTATGGCACATATCACTTATCTTATTCTTATCTGTTGTGTGTTGTCCATCTCCCTCTGCTAGAGGAACCTTCCTGAGGGAAGAGACATCCTATATCTTGTTCACAACTACGGCCCCAACATTGAGAAGGGGATAGATAGCCAATACAGTTAGTACGAGCCACATGTGGACAGTGAGCATTTGAAATGAGGTCAATCTGAATTGAGATGTGCTGCTGTGAGATTAAAATAGACTACAGATTTCAAGGACTTAGTACCAAAAAAAAAAAATCTCATTAATAATTTTTATACTGATTACATGCTGAAATATCTTGGATATACTGAGTTAAGTGAGTTATATCTTTAAAGTTAATCTCACCTGTTTCTTTTTACCTTTTTTAATGTGGCTACTAGAAAATCTACATCTGTGCTTACATTATTTTTCTGTTGAACATGCTGATCTAGAACAATGCCTATATCATAGTGGGTACTCAGTGAACATTTATTCAAGAGGTCATGTTACCAAACCTTTAGGATATTCTGATTAGAGAAGTATGGTGCAACTCGGCTTATGACTGGGTTTCTAAAGGTAATGTGTGGGGTTTTCACCTATACCAAGAGAGCACAAAAACCATGTAGTAGCGTATCTGTACAATGCTGACAGTTTCCAAGGCATTTCATAGATACCTCATTTAGTCTTCCTAACTCTACGGTAGATGTTATTGTTCCCACGGAGCAGATTATGAAACCAGGGCTCAGAGGTTATGTAACTTGAGAGCATTTGCACAAAAGGCTGAACTATGACTAATCCTGCTGTTACAATTTCAGTCTCTGGCTCTCTCTATTGTACATGCTGCTTCTACTTCAGCTTTGAATAGCGACCATGTACCAACACGCGCTGCTACTTCCTACATGTTACTTCTCCAAAGGGAAGTAGCATTCTAGTTTTAGAACCATCCTCTCTGTATTCTCAGCTTGAGCTAAGAGAACATTTTAAGCAGGAGGTTTACAAGCAGAAGCACAGGGTGGAAGTACATTCTAGGACAGAAATGCAAACATGTCAACAAAGACCATTTGCCACCTCAAAAAAAAGTTTCCTCAAATTGGTCTATAGAGTTAATGCAGTAAATTTATAACAACGCTGATGATTTTTATTACAGTGAAAACATGATTCTCAAAAAAGAAAATAAAAGGTTATGATAACCTCAGACCAGTAATTAAAAGATCATGATTTCTTTCAGGATACATACGTAGTTTATAGTTTATTTTATAATTTCAATACTAAATTAATTTACCTTTTTCCTCATGTGAGGAAAGAGGAACCTACAAAGAAATTTCATCTATGCCTCACAGGATTCTTATAGAGCCAATGGACAGAATAAACTTGAATGCATTTTAAATGCTTTAAATGCAAAGGGAAAGTCTCCATTTATACACACATGCAAGTACACACACCCACTCTAGTGCTGTCATTTGCATATGAAGCAATGAGGGAATTATTCTATTTCTTTCCCTTCATAAAGCTATGAGTATAGTGGGATATCTGTTGCCTACTTTCTCTTTTTCCCATTTTCTTCAGTGAACTATGTATTGTTACTTCATTTAATCCTTATAGCAAACTTAAGAGGTAGGTACTGTTATTACACCCTCAGTATAGAAAAGAAGAAAAAGATGACTAAGAAAAGGCAACTAACTTGCCCAAGGCTGCCCAGCTAGTAAGTGGTGGATGAGATATTTTAAAAAGAGTTATATCAACAAGCAATTACTATGTGCAAAGCCTAACAGAATTTACAGCAATCTCTGAAACTTAAACTCAGGCAGAAGTTTATTTTCTTCTTTGTTTACGTTTATAATTTCCAAGTTCTGTGTAGGCATATTTTATAATGAAAAAGAAAATTTATTTTATAGAAGTCAGTCTATATCATAGGATAGTCTTTGACTATCTCATAAATCTTAAAATAAACAAAGATGCAAACTCAAGGCATTATTCCAAATAAAAATAATAATTCTTATTAATGTAAAATATTAGTATGACAAAAATAATAATCTTCATAAGAATTATATGTCTCAGACTGAAAATAAAGATACTCTGGAACTAAATTTCACATAACCATGAAAAAATTTTAAATATCCACCTTTTTCAAATATAAAATCAATAATTTTAAAAGTACAAATAAAATGAAAATCATAAAATAAAGTATCATCACCACTCACATGAGATATTATTTACCATAAAAATGTTAATTTGAGGAGGAAATTTTCAAAATTCTATTCTCATAAATGATTATACCAACCACAATGAAGAAACTAAATATATCACAAGCATGTGAAATAGCTTAGGTAGAACCAAAGTATAAGTCAAATAAAAACACAGAGTAGGTAAGGTAAAATGGACTAATGTAGGACATTCTACCTCCTGGCACATCAATTCCTCATTCCTCTGAAACAATGAGTAGCACACCATGGGAAATGAGAGTTATTCTGAAAAATTAAATTTCATTCTTTTTAATTATGTCACAGGCAATTGAAGAAATGATTCTAACAAAAATATAGTGAGTTTTACAATCAGTAATAGTACTAGTCAATATCCCTTACTTATTCTGTGCACAGCAGCTCCATGAGCCCGAAGTGAGAGCACACTGACGTCACGTTGTTTCCTCAATTAAATTCCTGTCTTAATAATGCACTTCACATTTGAAAAGGATCTGAAGAAAATCTATCCCAGAGGCCACAAAAGGCATAATTAGAAAGTGTCTCCTGACAGTCAATTAATCATTGAAATAGAATAGGCATATAAAGAAGTTCCCTGAGATGCCTTTGTTTAAATAATATATTTCAAATTTTACTTTCCCTTCTATTTCTTGCATTTGTTTCCTTCCCATAAATCTTGTAACTAGTTAGATAACTTCCTGATTTATGTTTCCACATTCCTCTTGCCTAATTATAAGTCATTGTTATGTCTCAATTTTCTGTAATTTTTAACATTTTGGGCACTGAGGTTCGTGAAAACAAACAGTATTTGGGGTACATTCTCACCATTAAGCCAAGAGGGTATGATTCTCAGCTAAATTCACAGCAATAGTATGAACTACTTAGAGCAAAATACAGAGTCCCAAACCCCACAGGGACAAACAGAAAAACCAAGTTGTTCAAGTCCCTCCTCTAAGGTCTTACATTCTGACTGAGGTTAAAAACTTAGGGAAGAATAAGTAATAAGGCATAATTATATTCCCCTAAAACAGAAGGGAGGTTCTAACTTACTTTTTACATGTGTGTGGTGATTGATTATAACTTTTTATTTAAGTATATTCATCGAAAAGAGATTTTTGTGACTCACTAATTTACAACTTTATTCTTAAACCCAAAATTTATTTCACGAATACTTAATACACTCACATAACATGGGATAAATATTGTGGCACCGCAAAGATTAATAGGACATAATCTTTGTTCTTAGATGCTTAGCGTCTACTAGGAAGACGGAGAAGAAAATTTCAATAGACGGTAACAGATGAAGAGAGGGGACTTCAGAGTGGGCAATATTATTTTCAGCCAAGAGGAACACTCAAGACTGTAAGAGGACATGGGTATTTGTGCTGGGTCTTATTTTCCCTCATAAAATTATTTTTTATTGAGATATAATTCACATGCCATAAAATTCACCCTTTTAAACACTCGTCTATTTTAGTATATTTATAAAGTTGCAGAGCCATCACCGCTAATTCCAGAATATTTTTATCCTCCTCACCACCCCCCCCAAAGAAAACCCAAACTCTCAACAGGCACTCCCCATTCCCTCCTTTTTCCAGCCCCTGGGAACCACTAATCTACTTTCTGGGTTTGCCTATTCTATACATTTCATATAAATAGGATAATACAGTATGTGGCCTTTGGTCTTAGGTTTCTTTCATTTATCATAATATTTTCAAGGTTTACCCATGTTGTAGGGCTTAAGGTTTAAAATAAGCTACAAAAAGTTAGGAAGGATTAGATATCTAAGTAATATACTTAAATGTCAAACGTGCCAAGAGATAGAATGTCCTACATTAGTCCATTTTACCGTACCTACTCTGTGTTTTTATTTGACTTGTACTTTGGTTCTACCTAAGCTATTTCACATGCTTGTGATATATTTAGTTTCTTCATTGTGGTTGGTATAATCATTTATGAGAATAGAATTTTGAAAATTTCCTTCTCAAACAGAGAATCTCTCTTAACTTCTCACTTTCTAAAATAAAGAAATCAGCTCCTGCCAGCCACACCTGAGAGATTTATAGTGACAATTATAATTCTCATAAAGGTTGCTCATATAACAATAGAAAAACCAATAAACAGCATTTAGATATTTATGATTATGTTCACTGGAGAACCAAATGTTCACCTAGAGCTGAAAAGAAGGAAATAAAACAAATTTAATAAAAAAATACACATGATCTACATGGAAAATTTTGGAAACACTACTATGGAGCACTTCTGTAAGTGGAAAGGCATAAATTGTAATTCAATATTTTTAAAAATTGCATATCTCCGTAAATTTATGAAAAATCACCGAATTTTACAATTTCATGGGCAATATTTTTCATATATAAACTATACCTTAATAAAGCCATTAAAAAAAAAGGATGTAACCAATCAAAACAAAATACATAAAGATATTACTTTTCCCTAAGCTAATCAATAAATTTAACACAGTCAAAATTTACAACAGGATTTCCTGAGATGTGGACCAGTTGATGCTAAAGCATAGATTTCTGAAAAACAACAGAGTTAGCCTTACCTTATACTATTGATAAAACATATTTGCTGGGAACATGGTGAATTGGCACTGGGCAGGCATTCATTCTGCCTTCTAACGTGTCTTGCTATTCTGCACAGGCTAGAAAGCTAAAACCTAATTTTTCCAGATTCCCTTGTAGCTAGAGGCAGATTAGGTTTTCTCAATTACATGCAGACAAAACAAAGACTCTCTCCTCTGACCAAAAACCCTGAATCCTGCCCGTGACCCGTTTAGTCCAATTTTGGCAGGAATCCTGCGGTCAGTTTACTGAAAATCCCTCAGCCTTGGTATCTGATCATCGTGGTATCTGATCAAATCCCCACCCCCCCACTCCCGCCCCACCTTATCAGCCTGGGCTGACTTTAGCAAGAATCACAATGAGTTGGTCAGGCCTTGATGTTTCCTCTTAGCAGTTTTCCAGTCATAGATCCCCACACCGCTCCTCACTTACAAACCTTCATTTGTGCCTGCTGGAGGGGAGAGAGAGCCCGGTCTCTCTCCCCTATTAGAAAAGCCCCACTGTAGTAGTCCCTCTTGAATAAAGTCTTTACCATCTTTAACAAGTGTCTGAATAATTTTTTCATCAACTGAAAAACTGAAAAAGCAAGTTTCAGAAGAAAACACTTGCTTACTGTGTGCATTGGCTATATAAAATTCAAGCACATGAAAACTAAATGAGATCAATTAGTAATACAAATATATGTGAGAAGTCTATGAAGAAAAGCAGTTTAGAAGAACGGCTATGTCTGAAGTGAGTGGAAAGAATGTGCAATCAGAAAGGGACGTGTAGGGCTCTTTGGAAAGTAAGGTAAAAATCAATTTCTTAAATCAAGTGGTGGAAACACAAATACTTGTGGCACCATTATTTGATATGTTTTATAAATATTTTATAAATACTGTTTTATATCTGCTCAATATTTAATAAGAGATAATTCTATAAAACATGAGGAACACTGAATGATTGCTAATGAAAAAAGCAAGACTTGTGTACATTTGTACCTGAAACTTTTCTGAAAGGTTTTCTTTTTTCCAAAATAACAATTTGGAGGAAAAAATTATTCTCACGGTAAATCTATGCTAAATTGTACATCGTATTCTGATTTCAAAAAACATTAAAATGCAAACAACAACAAAAATGCTCATCAGGGAGGCGGCACGTGAGGCAAGAATACAGGAGGAGGCCCACTGGCTGCCTGAGCTAATTTAGTTCCTGCTCAACCACTGGCAAACTCAGGTCCTCAAACAAACCAAGGGATTACATATGCTTAGTGTATCTAATTTTAAAAGTCAACATTTTTTGTCCTCACCTGAGGTCACGCTTATTGATATGAGACAGAGGGAGAGAAACACTGATTGGCTGCCTCTCACACAATATCCCAAGTGAGGACTGAGCCTGCAACCTAGGCATGTGCCCTGACCAGGAATAAAACTTGTGATCTTTCAGTTTGCGGGACAAGTCTCCAACCAACTGAGCTACACTGGCCAGGGCTTCAGCAAGCTTTTTTTAATGGTACTTTTGTAGGTAAAGAAGGTAAATGTACACCTAGCAAAATAGTGTGATTAAGTGGAACATTCAAGCAAACAGGTGAATAATTCCACCAAATGCCTTCCATTTGTCTTTCCAAATCCACCCTTCATCCATTTCTCTGCTCGGAGGCTGAACTGTTACATGGTCTATCGATGGGGCTCCCTTACCTTCTGCCTTTAGTTCAGTTCATCCAGTGAGGAGCCCAGACAGAGAGCAATGAGAGAGAAGAGACCAGAGAGCAGAGAGCCAGGCTACCACCTGCTGTCAGGTTGCCCTGGGTCGGCTATAGCCCTAGACCAAAGGTCACTATGTCTCATGAAGATGTTAACTGTATGACTCTCTCATTCCCAGTTCCAGTAACCCTAGCCTCCCAGTCTTCCTTCAGATCTAGAGATAGAAACAGCTGACCCTGATTATGGCCCAAGTTACTGCATCATCCCTTGTGATTTAAAGGATAAACATGAAAGAATGGAAGGATGAAAGAGTGCATGGATGAAAATAAAGGGCCAAGATTGTTCCTTTGATTCAGCTTCCCCTGCTCTCACCTACATATGCCTATTTCCTCAAGACTGCAGGGATCTTATACACAAGTGGACAAGCTGTGCAGGCGGCCAACCTTGTTCGGGGACATGTGAACACAGAGCAGCTAGGCAGCCTGGGACCCTTTCTGAGTGACAGAGCAAGGAAAGCCTTACTCTGCGGTGCCAACTGCCCCAGCTGACCACCCCCTTCTTCTTTATTCCCTATTCTGCAGATTTTTCCTAAGTCTGAAGATTTGTCTTTCTAGTCAACCTTGTTTTTATATTATTCCCTGGGTGGATACACCTGGTCTGAGGAAGGAAATGGTCATAAAAATCATCAAAAATTGATGGGTTACCCATACATGGTCACCTGATTTAGGTATAAAGGGCAGGGGGCCCAGTGAAGGGGAAACCAGGAGACACTTTACGTCCCTCACCTTTCACCACCACTGCTTCCTAGTCTGTCCTACGGAGGGAGGGCGTTACTTTATCCTGGGGCGGGGGGCCTTGTCCGGCTGAGACGTGACTTCTGCTGTTGCATTGCTCGTTCTCTCTATTCTGAATAACCCTGCTCTCTTACGAATTCTTCTAGAAAGGATAATGAATTCCATTAATATTAAATTAATAAATTAGTATCTCTCTGCCTTCTTCCCCTGAGTTAAAAGACTAAGCTATAAATATAATGCTTGACTGACATCTAAAAAATTATCTTTCATTGTTTCTGCAGCAGGATTCCTTCTCTAAGGTAAACGAGGTTAGAAGAAGTTTTGAATGATGCAGCTATGGTTCTATCTGAATCAAACAGCAGCACCGCATGCCTCACTCTAATTGCCACGGATTAAGCAGGGTAATGACTGTCTCACACTATAGGCTTAATTTAGGTAACTTCAAAGGCTTGCTGGCATTTAAGACCTTAAAACAGTAAATGTTTTATACTCTCCTGGATATTAATTCCAGTGCATTTTAGATTTCTCTCATATTTCATATATTTGAAGGAGTGAATGAATGGGTTGTAATTACTTTTAGGACTATCTAGCATTCAAATCACATTAAAAAGGTACAGAAGAATGGATATTCACTCGAGTGAATCTTTTTTTTTTAAACTTTCGTTGTCTTACATTTCCTTTTTACATGTTTTGATCTCCTTTCTCTGGATTTGCAGGTGGTTCACCATTAGACTCCATGTCCTGAATTGCAATTCTTTGTTGTTCAGGAATAAACCCATTTTGCTGGAGAAATATCTGGCTGTCTATTTGTTTAAGGTCAACAAATACTCCCAGTCCGTCTCTAAAACTGCATCTTGAGCCACTCTCTCACTTACTCATTTTGTTCCAGCAACATTTTTTTCCAAATGTTCCAAATTTCAAGTTCTCCAAAGCCAATGAGAAATAAATTTGCATGACCTTTTGTTTGGGATTAGGCACAGCAAGGCCCCTTTCAGCTGGCTTGGACCCAGCGTGACTATAATTGTAATATAATCAGCTTTCTGTGATCTTAGAGATGGGTGCCTGGCTCTCTCCCATCTACCCCATGTTCACATCCCTTTGTATGTTTCTACTTATCAGAAAAAGGCCCCAAATCTGCCAAACAACTACCAACATAGTTTCTAGAATGAACAACGATCATTTCCTGGAAGAAAGGTAAATACTAAAACAATAGGAGACACAATAAGACATGCATTATCCTTTTAACCTTCCTTCTTGCCATTTACTCCCACTCCTCCCCAGAAGACCAAAAGGCCAGGGTAAAAAAACTATGACAAAGCAGTAATTTTTAAAATGAGCAAGTTAACGTAAGATCAGAAAGGGGGAGGGGGGGATCATCCCATTTAGAGTCTTGTACTTAGAACAGACGGCAGCACATAAATACTTGTTGATCTGATTTGTAATGATGGAAAGTTAAATACCAGTTCAAATGGCCCATGAGTCAGTATTTGTAATTTAATAAGAAGAACTGGAAGCTGGATTCCCTGCCCTTGAAAATACCAAAATATCTACAATTGCCATTTGATGTACTTACTGGCATCATGCATGAACTCAAAGTCACCTCCCAGTTCAGAACTTGAAAAGTGATACTGATCTGGATCGGCCAGGGCACTCAGTAGAATCAGCAGTACCACGGCATTGAGGATCTACATAGAACAAGAAAAGGAAAAAAATATAAGTAACATACTCAGCGTATAGTCCCTATAAAAGAAAATTATATTGACCACATGGAATTTAACTTCAACAGAGACTTAACTTGCAACACTAAGCCCCACCCATCCAGAGGGCAAGCAAACACTGCCAAGGCAGAAACACTGCTAGGCCATTCCAATGCAGTCAAGGGTACATGGCTCATCACCCAATGACAGCTGGATTTCCCCTCACTGCCCACACCTCCAGCACCCTAGAGCAGTGACCAACCAGCACAAGCATAGGCGGCGGCAGCCAGTGGTTGGAAAAGCACAAAAACTCTCCAGCAGTAAGCCACGTACACTAATGATCAACTCCAAGTTTTTGAAGGTGATAAAACATTTTTCACAAGTTGAGACAATCAGCTTTGAGACCATCTAGAAAACAGTATCAGAAAATGAATGCCACGCTTAGTGGCAGAGCCAGGATCCTTAATCCTGCAGAAGCACGTGAGCCCCTTTCTGCCATAGGTCCACATTTGTCTCCTAGATATTGCTGAATACATTTCTCTTGGGTACTTCAAACTCAGCTCATCCGAGCTGAAGTCACTGTCCTTAGCATCTCCCACTCGGCACTTCTTTTTCTGTTCCGTATCTTAAAAAATAGCATCCCCATTAAGAATTTAACATGGAAACCACTCAAGCACTATGCTATAAACACTCTATGTGGATCTTCTCTCTTAAACTCTGTAACAGCCCAATGAAGTGTGTGCTATATTATCCCCATTTTATAGATGAGAAAACTGAGGTTCGGGAGTTAAGAACACTACCCAAGATCAGGCAGCCAACAAACTGTAGAAATGGGATTTGAATCCAGAAATTTTGATTTTAAAACATAATCTCTTAAAGTCTCCTGTCTTGAAACCTGATTATCTTTGTGTTCACCATCCTCCTTATCACCTCCACCCAGCCAACTGCAAAATTCTGACCATTATACTTCTGCATTTCTATTTCCTTCAGTCTTCCTAACTGCCTTGCTGCATGCTCTGCACACATACCAACTGCTGCAGGGAAGGTGTCCCAGAGTTTAGCTGAGGCATGGGATGAGGGTGGGTTGTTATTTCTCCTTATTTCGGGGTTTATAAACTTATGAAAAAGCTCTATGTTTCACTATTGTTAAAATGAAAAGATAAAAAATCTTCATATATAGGGAAGATTCTTCTACTAGCTAAAAAATTACCTACTATAAAAACCGTATTTGGAAACACTTATTACAGAAAAGGTTCAAATAGTCAACTTACGTGTTTTACAAAATGTCCACTCCAGAATCCATTTTTAAATGGCAATCTTAAATGGTCAGCATTACTGTAGGATTTGGAATAATTTTTTTTTTCTGCCAAGATCTTCGAAATTGCCTAATATGGTCTAACTGCTTTTTGAAAAAATAGTACTTCTAAAAATGAGAATAGCAATTTCCCAGAGTATATATGTGTAATTAATTAAAAAGATACTACAAGCATGTAATTAAAAATTTTGAGGTACAAAAGGGTATAAAAAGCAAATGCCCTATTCTTATCCCTCCAATCACACTTCCCACAGTGTTTATTAGAACTACGTTATCGCTTTCCAAAGACCCTAAAAAACTCCATAGCACATTTTAAAGATAGTGTGATTAGTAAAACTCTTAGCAACACTCTAGAAAGAAAACTTTTCAGAACATATCTAGGGCGTAATGGAAGGTTAAGAGCTAGTACCACAACTGGCACATGACGTTTGGTAAAGATGTTCTTTGATAAAACAGTCAAGTTTTCTTGGCATTTTGTTGCCTCCATACTCTTCTCTTTGGAGAAAGCAGTCCGAAGATTATAGACTGAAATAAGATCAGATGAAATAACCTTAAAACATGTTTTGAAAAAGTCTAGCATCATACAAAGGCAATGTATTTGTTTTTGTTACAGTAATGGGGTCGGTTTTAAGGATGAAATAGAAAGACATAAATTTGGGATTCATGAAGAGGTGGAGTCGGTGGTGGCGTAAATCCAGATTTGGGAATCCTGCAGGGCTGGGTGTAGAGTTCAGATTGTAAAATAAGAATAACAAGACACCAGTGAAGAATGTTAAGGAGGATGTGATCTGGTTGGCATTCAAATGAGTAAATTACATAAAACACCTAGCAAGGTAAGTGGCATATTACAGCCACTCAAATTAGTTCCCTTATCTCTTCACCTGAACAAGAACCACAGGAAAGCGCTTGGCTGGCATCAGAAAACTGCCTGGTTCCCAGATCTCCCGAGCTAGTGTAATGCAGCTGCTTTCCTGTCCTTTCAATTCCAATGCACCCATCACCTCTTAATCAGTGTGTTCTTAGCCCCTTGTCTGGTTAATACATTTACAAATTGCCTACAACAGATCAGGTATTTGCTAAATGCTTAGGAAGAACTCTCCAGGACTCAGAACAGGAGTTTAAACAAGTCATGGACTCAACATAAAGCATAAACAGGAAGATCAGAGGAAGACATTACTTTAGTCTGAGGCTGAGACGGGGTTGCTGAGAGCTGCAACTGCGGTAGCATTTGGACAGGGACTGGAAAGATGAGAAGGTTTTGGAACCTCAGAGGCATGGAAAAGAACAAGTTCAAATGTGAGTGAGACCACTGGGACAGGGGCCTGTACTGAAAATAGCAATTAGTTCAATTTGGTTGGAACACAGTATAAGGAGGGAAGAGATAGGGATAAAACTAGAAATGCAGGCTAGGGCCATGTGGTGGAGTGTCCTCAAAACCAGGATAAAAATTTGGGCTTTATTCAAATAGTTAATGAAGATGCCTGAAAGGCTTCTGAGGTGGGATAATGCCATGGTCAGAGCTACAACATTAGGAAGTTTAAGCTGGAAGAGGCTGGGAGGCTGAAATGGATGCAGGGCTGTAATAGTATGGCTGAGAGCTAATAAGGGTTTTACCCATTCATCTCTAATTCTCATGCCAACCATGTAAGATTGTCATACATTAGTTTCAGAGGTTAAGTGACTTTATGTTAGGTCCTATGTGTGGAATAGCCATGGTTTGAACCCCAAGGACTTTCCACATCGAGGTAGAATTATTAGAGACTTAGGGAATGACTAGATGCAAATATAAGAGGAAGCAAACAAGGCTCTGAGATTTCAAGTCTGGGTGATAAGATATAGCTTGTCATCCTCAGAGATAAGGAAGACCACTTGAAGGACTATGACAAGGCTGATTTTAGATATGTTGTGCTGAAAAGTACTTGCAGATGTCCAAATGATGTTTGCATCTGGGCCTCTAATCCTCTTGTATTCAACCTTTGGTATGCAGGCCTGCCCTCCATTTTTCTGTTTGCCTGCTCAAGTTCTGACAGCCTGTTTGATATCTAGTCCTGTGTGCATTCCTGTCCTCTCCTGCTCAGTCTCTGAACACATCACGTCATTCCTGACAACATTGTTCTCGCTCCAGAGTGGGTCCTGGTTCCCATGCGTACTTGGTTGTGCCCTGGCTGCTCCAGTAACTACCACCTGCTCCTGTATCTCTAGCCCTATGTCCCTTCTCTCTGTGCTCACAAGCCACAGGTCACAGTCCTGGGGCTAAGTCCTCTTCCAGGTGCTTCATGAGCCAGTCCAAAGAAAGAAGACATATCTAAAAGGAAGACGTGATGGTAAGGTCATTTACATAGCACAAATGACTCACCACAGTGCTCTTTTAAACACAGAGTACTTCACAATAGAGGGTGTGTGTTGACACATATTTACCGTATAATTATGTAAAACTCCAACTGTCAGATGGGAATTTAGTACACCACAGATGATGTGAATGCAGTAGGGTGGCAGGGTGATCCATGAAGACCTACGTCTGTGCAAAGGAGGAGGGGTTAGGACTAGCCATGGTAACAACTAAACAGGTCAGATGGAAAAGGTCAAATACAAGTCAAAGTCCCACAAACACTGGGTAAGAAGTACCTCCCAAAAGAGGGAAAATGAAAATCATCCATTCTAAGAATGAAACATCACCACAAATGACAATCAAGAAGATGGTAAGATCTGCCAGGAGCAGATTATGTAATAACCACCACTAACCTAAATGTAAAAGCAAGAAAGGGCATATTTATTTTCTCATTTAATTCATGCTCACTCACGTCTGGACTTTCTTCGTCTGTTTTGGAAGGTTGTGTACAAACTGTTCCTATTTTATTTACAAAGTGTTCCTGTGGTGTCATGTATATTTTCCTTGTTCCTGACAATGATCATTTCCACATGTATTTAAATAAATTCAATTTCTGCCCAATACTTACATGGTACTTAGGCCCTTGTTTACTCTCCAGGAATCCAAAGTGTTCTTCACCCCTTATCATATTAGATCCTAAATGAACAGTGAGACCTACAGCTTGAATCTAAACTACAAATGTAAAATGTAATCATTGCTTTTTTTCTTTTTTAATTTATTATTGTGTAAGTACAGTAGTCTCCATTTCCCCATCACTTCCCCCGCCCCTCCCTCAATCCTTCCCCATTTTGGTTTTGTCCATGGGTCATTATGTTCCCTGATGACCCTTCCTCTTCTTCTCTCCCGTTATTCTCCTCCTCCTCCCCTCTGTTTACAGTCAGTTTGTTTTTTATTTCAATGTTGCTCACTATATTTTGTTTGCTTGTTTGTTCTGTTGATTAGGTTCCACTTATAGGTGAGATCATATGGTATTTGTCTTTCATCCCCTGGATTATTTTGCTTAGCATAATGTTCTCCAGTTCCATCCATGATGCCACGAAGAGTGGTAGCTCTTTCTTTATTTCTGCTGCATAGTAGTTCATTGTGTAAATGTACCACAGATTTCTGATCCACTCATTTATTGATGGGCACTTAGGTTGCTTCCAGCACTTGGCTATTGTAAATTGTGCTGCTATGAACATTGGGGTGCACAGGTTCTTTTGAATTGGTGTTTTGGGATTGTGTGGTTATAATCCCAGCAGTGGAATTGCTGGGTCAAAAGGCAGTTCCATTTTTAGCTTTTTG